TCAGAGTAGTTAGATGATGCTCCTTAATTAACTGACTATTTATTCATGAGGATGGGACAGGCCTACATATTATTCTTTAACAGACGAGAGAAATAAATACTGGTATAAATGTTTCTGCTACGGAAGAGCATTACAGGTTGGTAGGTGATGCCACACTTCTGGCATCAAAGAAAGAAAATGGCAGAAGGTGCTAGTTTGTGAGATTATAGTAGCAATAGGTGTTTTTTCCTAAGCAGGTCTGTGATTGGCTGTTTTTGTTGGACGTTGCCTCATTTTGAACTTTGTCTCATTATATCTGTCGGACACCAGAAGACATTTTAAAGCACTGTACTGATAGAACTAAACATTTTTGTTAGCAGAAAAGCTGGGACATTTAGAACTGGTGTCACATCCTTTGCATAGCAAGCACAAGAAAAACGTATGGTATTAGTTGTGTTTAACTGTGCGATTACAAAACATCTCTATTATTAACGTCTACTTCTCATGTTTTTAACATTTACAGAAAACTTTATTAAAAAAATTACTAGAACAGAATTTCAGTCTGCCACTGAGCTTTGATAGCGAGTTTAATGCTGTTGTTAGGAGAATAATCACATCCATCATCAGTCCAGTGATGAACTGGTTGCACTTAACCATTTCTGTTCTGACTGGCAGAGTGGTTTTTTTTCTCCCCTAGATTTGTGCAGATATGCAGAGGATCCAAGACCCACCAACAATTTGAAGTCTAATGGACAAAAAGTTTAAATGGCGTTAGCTTCTCTGTTAGATATATTGTTGACAGAAGAACTGGTGTTTACATTTGATTGTACTTTTTCTACCTCTTGTAACAGTTTTCAAATATAAGACACTAATCTTTACCAACTTTTATCCCCCCACTCCAAAGCAAAGCCTGATAAAGACTCGAGCTGTTCTCCTGCAGCACAAGAATTGATGACAAGATTGGGTTTTTTACTGGGAGAAGGGATCCCAACTTCTGCTCATATAGAAGAGAAAAATGAAGTCATGGTAGGATAATGGAAAATAATATACTTAATGTTCATCCTATTTCTGAGAGGACTAATGTTATTTCCTCTATTTGCTAGTTGCAGTTACTTGATACTTACCAAAATACAATCCATTTTAATAGACATATGGTAATAGAATTGTAAATTAATTATAACAAGAGTGTGTGTGTTTGTTTTGAAAATGTGAGTTTATCTTGCATTCTTAAAAAAAAAAAAGAATAGACTCATCATTTCTGGAAGTTAAGTCTAGTCTACTATGAATGTGAATAGCTTCTAGGGTTCTCTCTGCCTTATTTTAGTATTTAGGAGGAACTTTTTTTCCTTCTATTCTCAGTGACTTACAAGAATGGAAAATGTCAGTGGTTTGTTAAAATAAGACCATGCATTTTGGGGTGTGTGTTTGTTTTTTCCTGAGAAGTTCACTTCCATTTGACAGTCTTTCTCTGTCATTTGCGGGTAGAGGAACTGGGGAGAAGCAAGCAGCTACTATCCATATGAAACTCGTCTGCTAACCAAAACTGAACAGTAACTACCAATGTCTCTTTCTTCCCCTTCCTCTCTCCACTTTTAGTCCCAGGCCTCATAAATCTTAGTGCATCAGTTTGGGTTTCATTGATCGATCTGTTGGAGTGAGTCCAGAGGAGGGCCACAAAGATGATCAGAGGGCTGGAGCACCTCTCCTATGAAGACAGGCTGAGAGAGTTGGGTTTGTTCAGCCTGGAGAAGAGAAGGCTCCAGGGAGACCTTATAGCAGCCTTCCAGTACCTGAAGGGGCCTACAAGAAGGCTGGAGAGGGACTTTTTGCAAGGGCATGTAGTGATAGGACAAGGGGTAACGGCTTTAAACGGAAAGAGGGCAGATATAGATTAGATACAAGGAAGAAATTCTTCACTATGAGGGTGGTGAGGCACTGGCACAGGTTGCCCAGAGAAGTTGTGGATGCCCCATCCCTGGAAGTGTTCAAGGCCAGGTTGGACGGGGCTTTGAGCAACCTGGTCTGGTGGAAGGTGTCCCTGCCCATGGCAGGGGGGTTGGAACTAGATGATCTCTAAAGGTCCCTTCCAACCCAAACCATTCCGTGATTCTATGATAGTGAAATGTGAGACTGCAGTTCTAGTGCTTTTTAACCCAAAGAATAAACACTGGGGGTGGGGGGGAGGGGAATCCAGTAAAATGTTTAATAGAGAAGAAATCTGCCTCACTGCAACTCTTCCACTGAACTGTGAAATTTCTTTTTCTTCAGGAGTCACTTTCTAAGAGTAATCTGAAAAGATGTCATTAAGGTTCCAAATCAAGATAAAGCTGCTGCTTCTTGAAGCTTTTCCTTGAAACATGGGCTCTTTGCTTTGTTCTTGTTCTACTTCACCTTGATGTTTCTAATTTTCAGCACAGTAGTGTACTGCCTCCTGTGCAATAACTACTCATTTTTCTTCACGTCACAGTGTACAGTAGCCAGTCAAGGAGTGAGTCCATGTTCCACCCTCACAAGCAGCACTACGTCACCTAGCACTGATAGTCCTTGCTCAACTCTCAATAGCTGTGTTGGCAAAACAGCAGCTAACAAAGGCAGTCCCTGTGGAACCATTAGCAGCCCTAGCTCTACCCTGGAGAGCAAGGACAGTGGAATTATAGGTAAGCATCGTAATCAGTAATACAATTAATAGAAATTAATGTTCTCTTAATAGTACAAGTCTGAATAGCTGCTTCATGTCATTGTGTTCGATTTTACGCTGTCCATGGATCCCGTTTCAAATCCTCTGTACTTGAAAGATTGAAATCATATTCTTTGGCTATAACAGTTGCTGTTGTTAGGTGTGCATTTGTCATCTTTTGTTTTCCTGGTGCAGTTCTAATTTCTCCATGTTTTCCTTTAAAAATCATTGATTTCCTCTGTTTCGCTCCATTTTTTATTTTCTTCTACCTTTTTTCTTTTCCATTATCTATATCTCTACAATGCATTTCACGATGGTGAAGCACAGCATAGCTTGAAGCTGGTTTAATTTCCAGCTGAGGAAAAAATAATTGATGCTACTTCTTATGAGAATAACGTAAATCAAACTGTTTAAAAACAGTGCAAACTTTTGAGTAATTGGCATGAAAATGAAACTAAAATGGGGCATCATGGAAGAGGTGAAATTGTGTGATCCTCCACTGAATAGATGACTGAACTGAGGCTATATATGCATCTCCTATAGGGAGTCAGTTATCTTTAGAGAGGCAGCTACCATCACAGACCAACTGTTATATAGCTCCTTTTACCAACTACCTGAATATTTCAGTAAGTCTGTTCAGTACTAAAGAAGAAATCTAAATTCTTTGCTGCCTCGTTTGTGCCATCTTCCCTTTTTCTGCTCCCTGCCCTAATGGGTCTTTGTCTGTACCGCTATCTGCCTGTACCTTTGGGCACCCAGGTGGCTACGTTAATATTACTTTCTGGAAGGTCAGACTAAGATGTAAAAAGCATATTTTTCATGTTGTTATAAACTATTGTAGGAGGGTTTATTCTTCTTTATTGGTTTAGTCAATTTTTTTTTTTAAATGCTGACTTCTTAACCAATTGATCCCTTTTAAAATTGATTTTGTAACAGCTGTTAAGCTTACCAACAAAAACAAAGCACAAAATGCCCCCTAACCTGATGCTTTCTCAGTATACAAAAGTGAGCTTTCAGTTTTACTTAAGTCTAGCTGATGGACTAAATTTAGGGAGGCTGAAAAAGGGAAGCAATTCTAAATCTTAAATGCCTAGATTTGATAAAGTAAACTTAAGATGTGTCATTGTCTTTGACTGTGAACTTAGTACTTTTTGATTTACAACTTTTGTTTATAGAAGGAATTGCAAGTGAACGTGGTCTCTGCCTGCCATTATGAATACTACCATGATGATCATTGGTGTAGTACTTGCCAAGAAGTAGTGATAATACATGTTTTCATAACGCAGTTGATAACACTTTACTCTGACTTTATACATGTTTTTGCATTTTATTATAAAGTGAAGTAATTGTGATAAGTTATGACATAATGTTATTTATACTGATCAGTTATCCTAAAAGAGATGTTCATCATGGGTCAAAAGACTCATTTGTATAACACTTAAGTACTTCAGTTTTAGAAAATGATTTTGTGAACTCGTTCCATGATAGACTGATAAAAGCCATTGTCCATGGTCAATTCTGTGTAAGATCTAGTTTTGAGATAGCGTTAACATTTTTCTGTAAAGTAAAGGGTATATCAGAATTGTTGCTCTTGGGTTCACAGATTTCAGACGTTGCCTGACTTGAGAATAGAGTACTCAAGTTAGTTGTAGGTTTTGTTGGAATTCAGGGTTTCCTGTTTTGATTACACAGATGCAAGTATAAAACAGACTGAAATGATTGTACAAGTGAGTATATTGGTGTAAAAATACAGCAATGTATGACTAGAAGAAACAGTAATGCCTCTTGTTGCAAAAAATATTTATCTGTCAGTATACCTTAGCCATTTTCTTGTTTAAAATGTTTTATAGGGGTTTTGCTTTTTTAATAGAGTAGTTTAAATCAGTTCTTTGAATGACACAGGGATCTATGAGAGTTGTGCCATTAAAACAAAACGGGCTTCCCAGATAGGACATGGTTACAAAGATACTTCTGTCTTCATAAATGCATCTATGCTTAAGCTTTTACTAGGTCTGTAAGTGATGTGTAGACTGACTATTAGGCAATTCTGCTTGGGTGTGTTTCTTAAAAATTTGGGACCTTTGTTAAGGCTTCTGCAAGTGACCTTTTATAAAGAATAAAAGGTTTATAAGAACCTTTTATAAAAAGAGGAGTCATGTTGGTTTGGAATACTTAGTTGTTTGGAGATCTAAACCAGTGTGTTTGTTCATTTGTTTAAAGTGGCACCGCGCTGAAAACCTTAGTTGACTTTGCAAAAAAAGTTTAAGGACTGCACGCTGTTTTGCATGCAACTTTTGTTTATATCAGAGAGAGTTGCATCAATGTGAGTATAAAAATTGGCATTACTAATACACTAAATTGCTTCTCTGGTACGTGATATAGAAGGGGGAAAAGGGATCCTGTTTCTCTGTAATTACATATTTTCAGCCTTACTGAGCTCTTCTGTGAGGTACTGCAGCCCAGGGGAGGCATGTGTGCATCTTTTGTATATGCAGTTTAATGTCACAGAAGATGCGTCTCTTATGCAGATACTTCATGAAGTCTTGGAATAAATACATTTACAGTATCAGTAATGCATAGTTCATCGAAGACTGTAGAAGCAGCTGCTGGTTTTGGAGTGGAGTGGGTTCCTTCTTTCCTTCCAGAAAGGCAGGATAATAGGCTGGAGCTCTGTTCTTTAACCTTCTTTAAAACCTGTTTTTGAGTGAGAGCTTCCCTTGTCTCAAGTGGGCAAATGTAGATACTGGTATGAACCTACTACCCATGCTTTGCAAGCTTGACGTATTCTATGAGTATGTCCATGTTCTAAATGAGGTCAGAACTAGCCTCATGTTTGTTTAAAATAGTATATTGGCATGACAACTACATCATCCATTGTATCACCTTGTAAGCACTGATATTTTTAAGAAAAGATGTTTGAACCTAGTGATAAAAGTTGCTTATTGAACTAATGAAAAGGTAGGAGTTTCAAAAATAGGAGAAACATGAAAGTAAGTCCTTTATTATACGGGGAGAAGAGAGGATGGTGGAGTTGTGAAGCGTATGAGTGTGAGAGCAGGGGGAAAAACCCTAGAGAAGATAGGAGGGTGGGGGGGAACTCCTGTATAGCTCCTTCAGAACCATATGGTTCATGATCATGGGACCATATGAAAATCATCTGCTGCGGTTCTGTGGAGCTGTCACTTATGTCTCAAAATCAGGGAGAATTTGAACACCCTTTGTCTCTTGGCAACCCATGGCAGCACCTCTTAAACCTATAAAGGCATGAAACCAAGAAGGGAAATAAGAGGCACCTCTCTGATAAATGACCCGTGTTTTTGTTTTTTAAATACAAATGTATCTGTACATTCAAATTTGTTGTCAGTAGTAAGTGTGCATTTTAAATTACGTTTAGCAAGTATATGTTTTCTAATGTCTTTGACAGAGTTCATCCAACCATGAAAACAGCTTGCTCTTTCATGCTACTTATGTGGGCTTCCATTGTATTTCTACTACCATTATGTTTTCTGGGCAGCAGACT